ATGTCTAAAGAGAAATAGAATATATTTAATGAGACACTGCTTCGCTTAACAATAAACTGTTTATATAAGTATAGTGAATCAACCGAAGAGTGGGATACAAAGTGACCCTCCTAGATAAAGAACGATAGATTTTTTTGTTGCTTCGAATATATTAAAAGGTGGATTTCTCTTCATCTGTGGCGCAGTTCAGAGTAAAAAACTTCTTGAGTATCTCCTATAATGCAGATCAAAAAGTTGGTCAAAAAGGTAGAGTATTTATAAAAAATTTCAGATTCCCGCAGGTCGATCCACATGATCATTTTTGTGAAAAATTAACCATTCCTGGAATAAATAATCAGGAGCATTGGCGTAAATTTCATATTTTTTTTCGGTTAACTTTTTTTATAAGGTTGGTAATATAGCCATTTCCGTTCCATTCTAACAACACGATCAGCAAAATATCTTCGGCAGGAAGCGTAGATCCACTGTGCGTTGAAATGGGAATTTAACCTGATTTGTCTATCACGTAATACTAACTCAGTAGGATAATAAAAATCCACCGTTTATTTATGCATCCGTAAATCATAGATTCTAATCGTTCTATTTCTATTTTTGAATTTCTTTTTAATAACGCCCCGACATACGATCCATATATGATTTTTTATTAGTAATTTAGAACTGCGCAATGAAAGACGTTGTTTTAAACTTCCATTTGTACCCTATACAAATCTACTAATGACCCATAATGGAATTTTATCATGTAGAATGGATGATGCTATAGTGCCCATCACAGATCTGTAAATCGCTGGCGTAATTTTTATTCTTGTCTCGTTCTAACATCAGGGACATCAGATTGACTTGCGTAATGAAGTAATGCTAATTTAAAGATTCGTAATAGGTGTAATATGCCAGAACCTTCGGGAAAAAAGTTGGATTGATTAATTATTTATTGATTGCAGAATTAATATCAAATGTGTCTTGATTTTTTGTGTACCAGAGTACATGCATTGCGGAATTAATATCATGATTTTTTGTGCACCGGAGTATATGCATTGTGGATCAACAAAAAATCTTCTGAGCTGATAATAATATTCCGAACTTGAAAATTTTCACATCAAATATATTACTTTATTATAACAATGACAAGTAACACTAATAATAATTCTGGTCAAAGTGAAATACTTGATCCATTATATGAAGTGCTATTATATCAGAAGAAAGATATAATAGCTATTCAGAAAAAACTCAGTACAAATAATAAGGCAAATCAAACAGCAGTGCATCAAAGCAATAAAGCAAAAACACTTCCTGATTTATATGAGTTATTGTTAGAATCAGTGGGAGATTTAATACTGATAGAGAAAAATCTTAACATTGATGGCAATTCCGTTCTAGTAGTGGAATATCGAAGCAATAAAACTCGTGAAGCTTCTATGGATATTTCAATTGGGAAAATATATAATTTGCTTGTTTGTTTAGAAGAGGATATAATAACAATTCAGGACGAACTAGGTATTATTGGATATTCTAATCGAGGAAGGACAGAAGAAGCTAATGAAAATGCAAGGGCATATCTTCGAAAGTTTGAGAAATTTCACAGTCCCCTAGAAGATGATCCAGGTGTGGTATTAAAGAAATATGGCGAAATGGGGGTAAAGAAAATTAGGTTTACTGGAGAGGGACTTCTGCTAATTCCAAATCTTACTTCTCAACAATTGCATGAAGTTTTTATAAAAAATTCAGCTAGCACCAATCATTGCCCATGTTTAGAACAAGTTAGCTAATTTATATTTTTTTGTCATATAGGGCGTATACAGTATGGTTCTGCAAAAAACCCTCCAAACTTTTATATATACAATATCTTAGGTAAACGAAAAAATAAAATTTAATAAACGATATCTAACTCATCTATGTAATTAGCTTTCATCTTCGATAAAGAATGGTCTTGCTTGATTATACGGTTCTCCTCTTTTTTGCATGTTAATTATAGTGTATCTCTTAGATGGAGAAGCATGGTTATCAGGTGAATGCTGAAGGGCTTCACTGGCATAAGTGTTAGCTTTTGATGCATTTTTAGGCCCATGTGCTACAGAAGTGAACACTGCCCCTAATTTTCGTAAAGAGCTAGGAAGTAGTGGTTCACCACTTTCAGGAATAAATTCATCTTTTTTCAGAAATGTACTTAAGTACGTAGATCTAAGTTTTTCTGGGTCCTTTAACTGTCCAGAACAAATATTATCCTGAATCCAAGTAAGAAGTTGCTTAGCCTGCTCCTCATTCTTTTCTAGTGATCTAAACACTCGAAGAATATCTTGTTGACCTTGGTTTTTTGCATATCCAGTTACAGTCCCATTAGATATACGCAAGTTTTTAATTTCAGCTAGACGAATGCAGAGCATTATCATTACATCAGCTAGGGCCTGTTTGTTAGGTATATTTGATACATTATACTTATCCAATCTTTTCTTGACCAATTCTAACGAGAAGTGGTCTGGAAAATCAATTCCTTCATTTTCGTATTGCTCGCTATGCTCCTTTTGAACTTTATTAGATAACCTAGTTACCTCTGGATTCAATATAGCAGAAATTATTTTTCTGAAGCGTTGAGGGGCCGTAATTCTCTTCGAAGCCTAGAGAGGCGGGATAAGGCAATGACGGCATCAGAAGATGTTTCGACTAAGGTTCTAGATATTACCTTTACATCTTTTTCACTAAGTTTATCTTTTATAATACGCTGAGCCGTTTGTTTGATAGTCTCCCCTTCTAGAGTGGTATCAGATACTAAGCATATATCCACATCCTCTCCTTCTTTGGAGATTACTTGGCTTTTACTTCTCCCAATTCTCTCGTGAGGAATTAATGCAAATGCTTGTTCTTTGCTAAATTTATACCCTTTTTGAAGACAATTACGGGCCTGGCGTCTTTTCTCTTTATCTACTAGTGGTGTGCCAGTTGTTAAGAGCTCAAGTATTTCCGGCGCATATTGGCTAAGCTTTTCGAGACTTGTCTCATTGGTGAGTTTGTGATCTGTGACAAATTTGGTTGTAATGGCAGACATGATGTGGTAAGTAGAATATAGGGTGAATGTTAGATCAATCTGTAGTATTCAGATTATATATTCTAGGAAAAAGGTTCAATTCGAAAAAATATTCCACTATATGTGAACCCCTGCTCATGATCGGTGAAGACTAACAGAGGGCTAAGAAAGGGAAAAAAATACACGGGTCTCTATAGGGTCACTCGCTCTAGCCAAAAGGATATTTACATTGATTTGAATTTTATATATAGTTATGATATGCGAAAAAATATAACCTTGGAATGGCGGTTCCGTAGCTATATATGAATTTATATTACATTTTAGTAAAGTGTTCGTGCCTGAGCTAATATATGTTCTGGCCCCAAAACATTTGCCTCGACGAATGTATCATATAAAGCGCCGGTCTATGTTTCGAAAGAGCTAAATTTGGGTGATAGAGGAATTTCATGAGAATATCATTTCTCCAAGCCCTTGTTTCTTTACTATCCAGTTGATTTTTAATAACCAGTTTATATCACTATCATTATATACTTTGAGTAAAATCTGTAACAAACTTACTTTTCTATTAATTAACATAAGTAAACTTTTTTCTGGATCATACACGATCACATTAAATATAAAAAAAAGGTATTCTTTCAATATTAGCATTTCATTGAATAGCGGAATTAAGAGTCCTTCCTCTTTCCAATGCATATAGCCTTCACGTAGCAATTTATTATATGCTGACCCATTTATAATGATCATGCAATTAGTTTTGGGATTAAAGATTTTTTTGTGAAATTTATCTGTCGGTTGATCTAATATATCCATAGCGTAAGTATGAAAAGTCATTTATGACTTAACTTAATACCGAATAATTTAAATACACATTTTACTATGAAATTAATCCGCAATAAAAAGTGAAAAGGTTTTTATATCCTAAATACTTACATGGATCGTGTTACTTGTCAGCATATTAAGAGAGATAGTTCCATTTGCAGGAGAGTTTGCACTCATACTACTGGCTGTACAAAGTACTGGGTATTATATAAAAAAAATATAAAAAAAAATCTCTGCCTTGTTTGTGGAATATCTACTGTTTTTATTACGGGATGTTGTTCTAAACATTCTGCCAGATTTCATTCGCTCAATTATCGAATGAGGCAAAAGTATGGGGTCGAGGCCCTTCAACCCGCAAAGACCTCTGAATTGTCCACTAATAAATGAGTAGAAAATATATTTCATCAATTAGTTAAGTATCGAAGTCAGATAGTGCATTTCAGGTATAAACAATATGTATCAAATTGTGTAGGCTTTTTCGGAATCTTTATATAAAATATTGGAAGAAGCCTACATCTCAAAGTACTGTATGTACTCTAACCGGATATGATATATTTATATTAATATTTCATCAGGTGAAAACTCACTATAGCCATATCGAGTATCTTTTTCATTTACCCAGTAAATTTCTTTTCCTGTTTGATATAGAGGTAATGCAGGAGCATCATTACTATCGAAAGATCCAACTAGATAGTAATATCTACAACCCTTGTCTATAGCCTTAAACTTTAGCCCATATGCTACATGTAGTGCTGAATTCAGTAATCCAAGTTTTGCTCGAATTGTTTTTAATTCCGATTTTTTAACACTACATGACACATCTGTATTATCAAATACTCGAGCTATTTTAGGCACTAAACCCTGGAGATATGATATAGATCCAGGAGAATTCAGATGCATCTTAACATCATCAGCTTTATATCTGGATCTATCATCGATATCTCTAGCTAGTGTGCAAATCATTAATAATTCTAGGCAGATTCGATGTTTCTCAGCTTGAGTTGTGGTTGTAAGCCTATTTTCTCTATAATCTTTACGGGAAATAGCTTCAATGGCTATTTCATTGTTAGTACTAGCATCTCGTAGTTGCCTGTAAGCTTTAAACCATTTTATGTGATTGTAATTCCCATA